AWWWTTTTTKWACATGCTTTTCCGTGGATATTTTCGAAAGTGCATTTTGACTGAAAACAATGATCTTTGTGTAAACGCAAATAAGAATAGTCACGTATAAAACTATGTAGTTTCGAAAATGTCTAAAACCGCCTTGATTTAGATGTGTAATTGAGTGTATAAGCTTTCCGTAAGATTGGTATTGATCAAGGTGCAAAAAGAGAAAAATTGAAAGAGACSAATTACGCATTCGCCACACTTTACTCCAGCTTGGGTTGAAAAATTGGCTGAAAAATCCAATAGATGAGGTGACGGTTTTGTCGGCCATCTTGGACCGGAAGGCATAGTGTCGCAAAATAACAAGGACAGACCGGGAATCGATGTCAAATAATTCTCGCTGAATTCAAATTCGGACGGAATTATAAATTGCAAACTTTAGATACTACCAAAAGGAGTTAACTGGCCAAATTTGAAGGATGTACTTCATGTAGGGGGCGAGTATTTTATTTTAGTTCTCAATACATTTCTTTGCATTTTTCACGCTTGCCAAGCGCTGATGACCAGAAATTACGAAGAAATGTATGGGGAACTAAAAATGAGTTTACTCGCTCTCTAGATCAAGTACGCCCTTCAAATTTGGCCAGTTAACTCTTTGTTTCAGTATCTAACGTTTGCAATTGATAATTCTTTCCCAATTTGAATTCAGCGAGAATTATTTGACATCGATTGCCCGGTCTTTCCTATAGTTATTTTGCCTACTACTCAGCAGGGGCCAAGATGGCCGCAAAATATGTCATAAAAGTGCGTCAGTTGCCTGCTGAGAGTGGWTGTTTTATTTTCAGCTCACAGTATGATATGAATCGACAGGATTTCCAGGGCATGTTCTAGAGGACTTAAAAAACAAAACATCTGTCAGATATAAAAGCTAATTGATTGTGGTAAATGGCTCGAGGTTGTGAAAAGGTAGCATGCGTAGCCATGCGTTCCTAGCCGCTCCGAGAGAGTTTGGGCCTGAGAAACCCAGAAGGGAACCTCTCTCGGAGCGCTTGGCTACGTAGGCTAGTGAAAAGGAAAATCGGTTTGTTACCGCTGGAGAACAAAAAGCGCAAAGGAAGGAGTGAATCATGACAAACAGATGAGCAATATTYAGTTAAACTGATTCCCATTCAAAACGCGTTTTTGCAGCAGTTTTTTYCCTCACTTTCGYTTCTTTAAAGAATACATTAAAGCACTGACGAGTGAATAAACAAAATATCCACAGATGTTTAACCTATAATTTGATACCATCTGCTAGCTTCTTATTTTAAAAGTCAGGACTARTATCTTTGACAAGTAGAGTAAAAACAATATTTGTTATTACTTGCAGAACAAGCAAATCTTCAGAGAGGGTTGTTCGATTAAGTTGCGCTTMTTACTGAGAACATCAATTATTCATCGCGATTTTGYCGCATAAAAGTCAGTCAATAATGTTCTTTTTATTAATATGAGGTTGTTCAAATGACGGCTTGTTTGCTTATCCCGCTTTTTCAAAAATATGAGTCCCAAACCGTTTAGCGAAAAAATGAGCTTTAATTTTAAGACAGGTGCGTCTTTTCCAACAAGTCCCAAGGCAATAACGTTCTCACTAGAAGGCACTGGGAATACAGACGCCTTATATCTCATACTGTTAGCTGAAAACCAAACATATAAACACTCTGCAGGTGACTGACGAATTTCGACTAATTAATTTATTCTATAAGCGTATCCTTTCAATCAATTCAGCAGATCTACTAATCAACGAATCAAAAATGGTGTGTATTGTGTATAGTGTATTGACTAGGATCAAAGCAAAATGTAAAATTAAAAACGCTAGCAAAAACGTCCTGAAATATTCTTTATCTTTGAAAATACCTATTCAATAAAATACCATGCGCCTGGCCAATTTTATAAAATATATTGCTCATTAAATCATAGAGACTCCGCAAAGTTTCATTTACATTTTGTATGTCAAAAGTAGTGCCAGAGTTTACATAGGGTGAATTCAAACTTGTTACGACCAACGGAACAATTGTTATTTTAATTTTTCTCCTTAGCTTAATTTGGCATGTTTTTCTTTACTTTCRAAAAAGAAATATTATTCTTTTATTAAATGTTATAAAACACTGGAGAATATCAGCTCTTGAAGTGAGATATAAAACGCTAAAAACAWTTAAAAAGTAGTCGGCTTTAAAAAGAGGGAGCGGGCGAGATTCAAAGATCTTAATTGACTACAAATAAGTCAATGTTTTTTTCAAAATTATTTGTTCATATTCGATTGCAATAACAATAATTTGTAGAGCTCATTTAATTTTTGTAATGTAATCTAAACAGGTGTTTCCATGATCGATAGTGGAAGGAAAGTATATTGAAGAAAAAAAGAAAAAAAATAGAAAGAAATATAATGGAAGGAGTGGCGCACTATTAACTTGAGGAACCTACGGAATTATTATCAGAATAACGATAATGGGGATTGTAATTCTGTGAAATCACTTGAYAAAGACTGATTTGCTCAATTAGGGAGCCGTAGGATTAAAAACAAACAAACAAAAACACTTCACTTTCAAAAACAAAACACCAAAGACGACCAAACAATAAAAATAAATTAAAAAGATAACGAAACGGAAAACAAACGAAAAAAGAAAAGTTGGATAATCGCCGAAACAGTGTCATTTAGATCTTTTATAAGAACCTATAGTAAGAACTGAGATTGAGATTAACAGCAAAAAGAGAGTAAAACCAAAAACAACACCAACAAACCTCAAAAAAAGCCCACAAACGAGAAACAGTCAAAACGACTCTAGAAAATGAAACGAAACTTTTTATTGGCATATTTCCACAATTCGCAATTGCTTCAGAATCTATATCTATTTAAGAGTAGTGTTATCATTGTTGAGGTACTTGAGTCTCAGCAACACCGGATTAGATAAATTAATGTGCGATACTGCAGTTTCTAGAGTTGTTGATCTACTTATGTTTCGATCCAAATTATCTTCGAGAGAATCTTGTTGTATTCTCAAAACCTTTTTAATTCCACGACGAAATTCTGCATTTCTCAAACAGTAAATCAAAGGGTTTAATGCACTATTCATAAAAACCATTGTATCAGACCACGTGAACGTTACATGTGAAATAGAAACGCTTAAAGACGGGCCCATTGCAATATTGGTTACCAAAACAACTATCAATGGTGTRTAGCACAAGAAAATACATCCAGTTATAATCATTGTCGTCCTTATTGCCTTATTTTCAGTCAAGTGCCTTGCAAGACCATTTCGATTATCTGTACTCCTAAACTGAGCTTTAATATTTTGAAGATGCTTTGAGGCAAGTCTTTGAATTCGTATGTACGCAATTCCTGTTGAAACATGGCAAATTATWATCACAGAGCTCACCAAGATTCTGAAGGATTTGGTCTCCATACCAAACAGTCGGCTTGAAACTAACAGCGCCCAAAATATCCAAACAAAACACACCAAGATTATCATTCGACGTTTCGAAACCATGGACGAGTATTTCAAGGGYTTAAAAATGACTAGGGATCGTTCCAGGCTAATCAAAAGAATTGTGGTAAGAGATAAAATAGTACACAAAGCACGAGTTAACGTAAACACGACCACAACGTTGCAATTTGTTTCCATTTTCAAAATAGTTATCAGTTCAAATGTTATAAATAAAGGCTGGACCAGAACACCGACTAACTGGTCAGTCACAGCAAGGAATAGAATAAGAGTATTGCTGTTAGTTCGTAGTTCTCTTGTTCTAMAGAKTGCAAGAATAACAAGGGTATTTCCAATCGATGCAATGACGGCCATAATGATGTTTAAACCAATGGCAACCGCACTTGATGCCACGATATCTCGGGAAATCGGAAACTTTCGAACGGGGAAAAAAAGACATTGGCTGACGTTCATAGTAACCTTGATTAAGCTGCCTGCGAAAGTCCCCAATAAATGGTCAGCCAACTCCGTATTGCGCCTCTTATTTGGCGATTTGCTTGATTTGTTGTTGTTGAGAAGTCCCACAAAACAAGTAAATTGAAAGTCACTTGTGACAGTTCTGGTTCGTTTTAAGTTTGAATGATCTAATCATCTATCTGTCAAAAGATCCGCTTTTACCCAGGTAGGTCYCACGTGATTCATCTATWAGATCGGAAACAAGTCTCGGGCAGATGCTCAAGTACGACCTCCCACGTACGACTCACTTTCGATTGATCGAAAATTATGTAAATAACCAAACTGAATAATTACTTTAAGCAAATTAAATTGATTGCCGGATCTACACACTGCGTTTGATAAATTATAAGCAAATTATGAATTTACAGTGCGTCAGTGAGAACGCGAGGTGATAGGAATTCAAATGATTGAATTTGTTCTTCCCGGATGGAGACATATTAATGTTTTAATTATTTGTGAGCTTGAAGACTTGACTTTCAATACAAAGAATTTCATATTGAGACAAAACAAAGAAACACACACACAAAAAGAACAGATCAAAAGCACTGTGACGTAAATTTACTCAATTATTTTGTGCGCAATGAAGTCATGGTTGCACTGCTTCCAASGTTTAGATAAAGACAGCCATTTCGAGCAAACGGAAAATTTTTCGTTATCAGACAAAAAAAAATTGAAAAAAAAAAACATTTTTTTCGATATAACACACGCAAGGACTTAATGGATATATTCTTTCACAAAAAATTAGACAATTATCATCGGCATGTTATTTCCATGTTTTTTATTTGTTCAATTAGCTTTCGATCTCTAGCACTTCGAAATTGAGTTATTCAAATGCTTTCCATTGACTATGCAAGATATTATGCTCGCCTAAAAGTTCTTTTTTATGTCAAACTTAATCTTTGATATGAGATCATTATTGAGTATTTTTTCATCTATCCTGGACTCTTGTTCAAATCGACCACTTTTATAAAATTTCCGCTTGCGCAATGGATCCACACCGCTATAACGGCAGAAATTTCGAAATAAGTTGTCGGAGGTTTCGAAAAGAGCTTACTAGAAACCATCAAATTTCACGAATATTCGATTTCTTCAAGATACTTCCCTTTGAAAAGATCAGAAAAGAAAGGGCACTTCGCAAAGTAGCATCCGAACTCASCGCACTGAATAAATAATGAAGGGCCTCATCGAACTTGAACGAGCTCCCTGGCTTATTTTTATAAGAGATATACAAAAACTATTGTGGCCTTTGAAAATGAGATGACAAAAGATGGTACTATGCGTTTGCTTTCTTCGGCCTAACCCCTCAAGTGGACTTTCCAGGGTGGTTGAAAATCGGAAAGCTAAACAAGTGTCATTCTGATAGCAATTTGGCATTTTTCAGAAGCATTTTAAATAAAAACTTCCTAATTTCGCACTACATTTTCCAGCAATAAAAACTATAAGTAATCTCATATTTCAAAACATTACCAAAGCACAGCTCTTTATAAAATGGAATATTTCGGTGAATTGATCGAGACCTGCGTCAATTAAAACAGGGAATTCTCCCTCGAAGTTTCCGATTSACAAATTTAGGATCTCATACAAGTCTAATGTTTAAAAGAGACATGGTCTGTCAGGATTTCATTGATAGTTCTACAGAATGAAAAGTCATGTCACGGCTGYGTAAATACTCTAGGCTCAATATTGACTTTGATAATGAATAACGGATACTTGCTAATACATGTTATATTCGAAAAGATTTTGATTTCTATACTATGTAAAAAAGAAGAAGAAGAAAAAAGGAAAATCGTGTAGAAAATACAGTAAATTGKAAWTGTTGGAAGTACCTTTTCTTCAAGGTTCAACCTTAATGGCCGATTTAAAAAGCTCAAGAAAGCGTTTTTCTTTGATTTCTCTTGTTTCTTTAATTAGCTTAAGCTTGCCTTAATRATRATTCCTATGCTTATGTCTATGCAAGCTCGCCTTCGTTCGTCTTTTCTTATGCTTCTGTCATGTCGTAGTGTCATGTACAGTAGTGCGGTGCATATTTTTATTTGGGGGTCTAACGACCACCGAATGCTCAATTATTATGGTAGGGTGGGGTTATGGGGACCTGTTCCTTGGTCCTTGAATGTGAAYCGGCCCTAAACTAACACTGCTAGTGTTTTTAAAAGTACATTATAACTTGACACTAACATGTTYACTTATGAATACTACCACAAGTTCTCTTGGCTGATGCATTTTTATAATACGCGCTAAAAAAGACTTCCAAAAGAATGTAAAAAAATATAGAAATAACGCAAAATTTTTCGCTTTCTCTTAAAGACATAAAGCACACATTCAACATTCAACTGACACCAAWAAATATAATAGTCAAAACTGTCCGACAACACCTGTCCAAGTAATTAGATTTTTCAGTTATTTTCAAAGTTTAAGTTTAGAAATTTATTCTTCACACTGAACAGAAATGATTTATAATGGGATTCGCTATGGGTCTAGCCAGTCAGTTCGGGCAAATGAAAGCACTCCCTAATAGCTTCGACTTTAATAATGTCTTCGGACAAATACACGATCTGTATATGTGAGCGATAGCTCTCACTTTTATTTAATATTTCCTGTTAAAAMAAGCCAACAAAAGCGTTCCATCTTTCACTTTTAAAATATGTAAAAAAACACTCGACATACGTCATTAAACAGGTAACCGATCACTGAATAAATAAACATTTTATAACGGGTTTGAAAAGAGCGGAAATCGATATTGAAACTGCGTGTCACAAAAAGGAGGAGAAAACAATCAAATCAACTTCCTACACCTCYCAATTAGATATAAATAACTTCCAGTACAAACGTTAAGCATGCAGCTGATCACAACACTTAAATAATTTTAATAACGTATTTGGAAAGTGTACTTCAAAACGAATATTGCACCTTTGGTGATTAAATGATAAACACTTAACCRAGTACAAAAGBATTGGTTCACCTCATTGTATTTTGATGATTATTTTTCATTAATGTCATTTTTCAATAAAAGTTTTTTTTATAATAAACATGGGGAGATATAGTAATATATTTACATCATTAATCTTGAACTTTTCGTCTGTATTTTTGTGGCTGGTGCCTCGTAAGACCCTGAAGTCGCCATGCGTACGCACGTTAGTCCGTGTATAGGTCGTATATTTTTGATTTACGGTACAATTCGTTTTCTACCTATGCCTGCCCGATCATTTTTCGTTATYTTTTAGAAATGCAGCCAGAAAAAATAAATYAAATAAACCATAAGCTATTTGATAGTGTCTGAATATCATAACAGTAGAAAACATTTTCGAACATAACACATTTAATATTATAAATTATTCCAGTGCAATATGAGGGCTCGCTTGGTCAGACAAAACTCCTTACGACCACTCGCTTAATACGGCCATCGCCGTTATAACGACCGGATTTCTATATCCCGTTGAATTAAGCCCTCATACTTTTCTGCTCGCTTAAAACGGCCACCCCCTTAGTGCGACCACTTTTCGAAGTCCATTCGGTCGCCGCATTAACGGGGTTCCATTGTRAGAACATTTGTGTACATACAACCCATGTGCTTTGAGAAGAGGACCAATRAAGTTCAACCTCAGTTCAACCCCGGGTTACCTCGTCATGCCTCTAGTTAAAGCCCCTGTGCGTCCCTGACTAGTACTCGCATTTCTATTTGGTAATGAGCTTTTCTTAGACGGTGCTTGTCGTCCTTTYGACTTGTCACCTTTACCTCTAAAGAGTCTGTTAATATCTAGTTTATTCTCTGAATTATTTGAAGGACTTTCAGATGTATCATGGTTGGAAAGTTGTGCGTCCAGGGCAAGTCTCATGGGTGCATAAAGATTGAACCATTGCTGAAAATAAAGAAAATAGATAGGAGGTGCATTAAAGTGGAACTGAACTCAATTTTTTTTCCAAAGATGAAGAAAACTTCCATGGAAAAATAAAATGTATTTTTGTGCATTCATGGAAAGCTCGTTTTCTTTGTGAAACGTTTAAGTCATGAAATTTTCGATAATTCTGAAATGGCCGCGAACTATCATAGGGGCCTGAGTCGAATCTAGTATGACGTCTGCTAAGGAACTAAAGTTCACACATCGGTTGATATTTCAAGTAAGAATTGCTGAAAGTTGGCTTTTAGCCCTTAGGAACAAGGATAAACCAATTGGCCACAGGAGAGACCCACTTTGGGCCACTGGGGGTGAGGRGTATAAGCCAGTACCCACCATTTAGTGAGTGAAATTATGAACYTTGTCATGAAATATCTTGGGAAATAAAAATCCTATTGCAACAAGAAATATCACAAGTGTGCTAAAAGCCTATATGATAAAAACAGTGTCCACATACACTCAGAATCGAGAACTTTTCAGTCCCGCTTTCCTGTTAATGTTCTTATTTTTCAGTGTCCCTTCAGTGCCCATATATGGTATGCCATCCAAGTATGTAGTATATACTACAGTACCTTAACCTGGAATATCTCACTCCATGCAGTGTTCATGAAGACCTACCTTTGTTTCAGGGCTTATCCCTGAACTTGTGAATATAAACTGCCATAGAGGAAGACCAAGATGAATGATCATCATTCGAAAATATGAAGAAAAACTATCTGCTAGGTAAAACCAGTCCAAAGCACAATCTAAGAACCACACTTCTGGTTTGCTAGTCGTTACCCCTGAAAATAGAGATAGCTACACAGTTTAAAAAGGGACGTACTTGTGCCTCATCACAAATTCAATGTAAGGACCAAATATATCCAAGAAGCTTTGTGGAATTTTCTCATATATGAAATTTTACCATCTTTTATTTTGAACCAATCACAACACAGCTTTAAACAATAGATCATTTGTAAAACAAAGCAAGCTGCTGTAAWCGCTCTTGGATGTAGATGGTCATTTAAGAAATGGTTCACATGACAAGAAGGAGCATGCGAAATTTAGTACTGTATAGCTGCTGACAGACACAGGTAGCCCAAGCTCAATAATTGTGTCACTTTACTATTTTATAATAATAGTCATATGTGACTTTTTTATCATATTCCGATGAAAAATGTTGAGTGTAAATGATTTATAAGCTTACCAGCTTTTAGATCCTTGTAGACCAAACATACTTTACCACATCCATTACAAGAATCAAGCTCGTATATTTTACTACGGCCATCAAAATGTGGTTTTATATGTCCTGAATTGATAGAAAAAGAAATGTCAGAATAAGCAAAATACTGTAAAACAATTACAGTATACACTTTCATTGTCAAATAATGTTATTGGAGAGTACAGCAAAGTTGGTGTCAAACAATTCTATTGTGTCAAAGAATTAGATTGCTTGACTGAAAGGGAAAACAGTGTTACACTGTTTGACATGGTACAAACGTTCTCTTGTTGATATCACCTAGAATGACAATGGGACTRATAAAATGRAGCCAATGTTTATCACAGTCTATTTGTATATTACTGCATAAAAAAATGTTAAGTTTAACATGAGTTAGTTTTTGTTGTTTCTGACTTCAGTTGAAATTTCAATCGTTTTTTCCTATTAATTAGCAGAACCCATGATAATGCAATCTTAGTTTGTCAAACTGCCATTTTATCAGGGAAACTTTTTTGAAGGTACAATTATTATGATTTATATCAAGGTGAGAAACTTTTTTGTTTGTTTAGGTATTTACCATGGTCATCTTTTTCATCAGATATTGTATCAACGTCCCTTAAAGATGGATTGTCATCACTGTTGGATATATTTTGTGTTAATGACGTCAGACCTGCTACTGAGTTGATTTCCATTTTACCCAAGTTCAAATTACTCCCTGAAAAAGAATAAATGAACACGAAATGAAATTTAAACCAGTGGATTGAGATGACTGTTTACACTGTTATTATATTATGAGGTCATGTATTTGCTGTCAACTTAGGCCCTTTTCAGACGTCGATCTTTTGTCGCATCTAATCTAATTGGTGGAGTTGAGTTTATTAACATTTTGTACTCTGAATTCATTGACATTGGTAGATTTATTCGGTTGGACGAACTTGTTATAATCCATAAATATCAATTTTTTTCATAAATATCAATTGACTTAGACAGCAAAGTTCTTGTGAACTTAACATAAAGCACTGGATGAAAAGATCAACGTCTGAAACATGCCTAAATAGTCAGCTTAACCAGACACTTTGCCACAAGTCAAACAGAGCTATTATGGCAACAGTGTTTGGTTTCTGTTTCTCACACAAATTTATGTCTGGTTTACTKATTCAGTGSCAATTTGTGTGGTTACTTAGATTTTAAAAGATTTTGTTTACAATATTGTACCTCCAAATTTGATGCTCCATTGAATTAGAAGGCCATTAGATGTCAAGAAGAAGTTTTTTAAATCTTCAGGGATTATATTCATGTGTGCCTGGTAAAAAAGACATTCAAAATGAATGAGTTTTGAAAGACGGAAATAGTACGAACTTTCACCATCATGAGTTATGGCTTGGGCCTCCTGTGTCTAAAAGCTCTGTCTTTTCTTTCAAAGCATTGGGGATAAAAAATGCATGTAAATTATCTCTTACTTGCTCCCAAGCGTCAATAATCCCTTTTTCAGCTGGCTTTCTATCTAGTAATCGGACATCGGTAATACTTGGACGGCTTTCTGGAAAAGATGGGAAATTTTCACCGCTAAAACCAACTTTTGATCGCAATAATTCAATTGCTAGAAACAGTTATTGCGACCACTAACATGGAAGAAAAAGTAGARTTAATGTAGATTTCCTTACCTAAAGTACGAACGACTCCAAGAGTCATTTTATTGAAGAGTTCTCTAACTTTTCCTTGCTCGCTCAAGGACGCCATGTTGTTAAAATGGTTGACATGACAATTGGGTATAATTTAGGGAGGGAGGGGTGAGTAGAAATTTTTAACTTAAACGGGATTCCTGTGTATGGCACATGTACTATGGATATTTGAAAGTTTTTGGTAATATTGTGATGCGTTTGTCATAAGGACATTTGATAGTAACACAAATTATCCGCAAAATGCGAAATAGAAGCAAAATTCTATCTGAAAGTCCCGGGACAGTTGTACGAAGGGATAAGAAATGCTAACTCTAGTAATAGATYYCCGAACATACAGATCCTTTGAACTGGGATGCTATATATTATGATAGAACGAGATTTTTGGCTTAGCCAAGAATATATTCCTTCAAACAAAACACACTTTATATACAAACATTAATACTGAATAATATATCTTATCTTCCTAAGTTCCTTTAAGCCCAAGTTTTTTTCCCCTTTGCAAA